TTGAGAATGTTGTGTATTTGTATTTGCATAGTCTTGTTTATTGTATAAATAACATAATATACTTCCATGTTTATATGGTAAAGTGTGTAAGAGTTGAGTAGATAGTGTAAACACTCAAATCTGGCAGCTGTTAATAGCTGTTACTCTCAATTGAACTACTGTCCCCTTCCCCAAAGACAAACTAAATCATGTTAAATAAAAAAGAGAGAGGATATAAAATATATGATGATAGAGAGAATGCTGACCCTGGTTAAGTTAGGGTGATGGAATTAGGGATAATTGTCTCTTTTCTCTGTTTTCTACACATCCCAAGATGTAATTTTATTATTATTATTTTTTTTTACAGAAAAGAATGCATTTATTATTTTAGAAGAAAGGCAAATAAGAAGAAAAACACTAAAGCAACCGCATTGAGAAACATGACTGTAAGAATCCCCTGGGAGGAAGCTGTGTTAATGCTGTCATGGCTCTTGATCCCTGGGGGATCTTGCTTTCACAAAAGGGCCCATCCACCCATGTGTCTCTTCCTTTTATTGCTCTTAAAGTTTTATCCTTTTTATTTTTCATTTTTGTATGAGCTCTCAGATTGAAAGTCTCTTTTTCTCTCTTCTTTCCCTCTCTTACCCTAATATCTTCTTACTTGGCTTCTGTGATGGTTTTGTGTTATTTGACATAAAATGTCATACTGACTGTCAGCCCTGAAATAAGGAGTTTTATACCTCGGTATGTTTTAATTTTGACATGAGGTAATTGAACGTTAGGATATATCACTTTGTAAAACATTGATCTCGTTTCTTATCTCCTGGTAGAGCGAATCTGCTTCTGTGGATAATTTTTGTGCCATGAATCAATGAACTTGTGGGTTTATTTTGCTAATTAAGTGTTTCTATCAAATATCCTTATCTATACAGGAAATGATTTCTTCTCATAGTTTGTCCTTGTCAGGAAAGGAATAGTAATATCTTTGGAAAAAACAGGTGTAAACTCACCGACAGGAACAGCATCAAATCTAGGACAAATTTTGTACTCATGTGTTTATGTGTGCATGTGCACGCGTGTGTGTTTGTGGGAATATTCACACACATACAGTAGCAACTGGTATTTTTTTTTTAAAAGATTTTATTTATTTATTTGACAGACAGAGATCACAAGTAGGCAGAGAGGCAGGCAGAGAGAAAGGAAGGGAAGCAGGCTCCCTGCTGAGCAGAGAGCCCGATGCGGGCCTCGATCCCAGGACCCTGAGATCATGACCTGAGCTGGAGCCGAAGGCAGAGGCTTTAACCACTGAGCCACCCAGGCGCCCCAGCAACTGGTATTTGTAGAACTTCTCTTGGAGAAGTCTCCAAGGAGACTTCACTTCATGTATGGAAGATACAGTTTCACAGGACTGAGAAAAATCTTTAGTAACATCATTTATGAATGCTTCTATTCAAATGGAATGCCCTTGTGGTTGATCTAATGATAACTTTAACTTTTAGTTTGTGAAGTACAGAAATATAAACGGTTTAAACCTTGTGAAAATTTACCCATATACCCTACTCGCCTAGTCTAAATCTTACTTGCCAGTTTATGAAGGCAACAAATTTTAGAGACCAGAGTCATCATTTTTATTTCCTATCTTCTTTTAGGGAATTCTTTACATATTACATAAGCTCTACAGGCAAGGTGGGGATTGAACTCACGATCCCGAGGTCATGAGTCTCATGCTCTTCTGACTTAGCCAGTCAGGCACCCTAATTCTTTAAATTTTAAATTACTTTTATTTTTCCAAATTGCTGGATAAAACTGCCGATTAGAGGAGAAGGAGCGGAGGACATTTTCCTGAAATGATTTCTCCCCTAATGATATCTTAGTCTTATTGAAAAGCAGCTTCTGTTTTAGAGCAAATACATAATACTTCATTATCTCAAAAAAAAAAAAAAAAGAGAGAATGAAAGAGCTATTTTAAAAATAGCTCTAGACACCTCTAGATAGATACACATTTTAAAAATGTGTATCTATCCCAGGCAAAAAAGGAGCTTTAATCTTTTTTTTTTTCCATTTTAGCTAAATATTTCTCTTCTCTGAGCATACTAGGAAATGTTTTGTTCAAGAAACCCCTCCTGGATCAGTAAAGACTGGGAAGAGACAATAAGCAAAAGGCAGAATAGTCAGGCCTCTTGGGTCTTACTAGGGAAACTCTTGGAGCAGTTAGAAAGACTGGGTAGAGGGCGCCTGGGTGGGTCAGTTGGTTAAGCTGCTGCCTTAGGCTCAGGTCACAATCCTGGAGTCCCAGGATCAAGTCTCACATTGGGCTCCCTGCTTTGCAGGGAGTCTTCTCCCGCACACCTCTCTCTTCTCATGCTCTCTCTCTCTCAAATAATAGATACATAAAATCTTAAAAAAAAAAAAAAAAGACCAGGTAGAAGTAAAATGAGCTGACACTTTCCACACCTGCTCCCTTACTCCTCAGAGTGTTTCTGAGAGCTCACATGGCAGGGAAACCCCTGGAAACAGTCTCACTGGAGATGGGCACTGAAGAGGAACACGGGCCACGTGATCACTGCCGGCAGCTGAGGGCCAGGCAGAGGAGTTGGGGTTTTGCTCTCTCATTAGTTCTGGGCAGTCATGTTCTCTCTCTCTTCTTTCCCTCCTTCTCTTTCTCTCACTGCACGTGCACGTGTGCACACACACATACACACAGACACACACACTCCACAAGATGATCAAAGTGTTCATTATATGTATGTTCTACTCAGAGACCAAAAATGTCACCAGCAACAAAATAAAGCCAGACTCTTTCTTAGGTATTATTGACCCATGGAAGTAACAAAAGTAGGCATTTGGGAAGAGAAGTAACTTTATATAGATACATAAATTACATTTTTTAAATTTAGAAAACACAAACAATAGTGGTGTTTCTGGAAAGTAGACTTGGCATCTCTAGAAGTAGATACATGAACTTGATAAAGAATAGAAGTTCCTTATTCTTTCAGATCTTATGAGTTATTGTTATAATTCATAAGGCCGAATTTTAATACAAAGGACTATAATAAAACAGTCTTTGAATGTTAAAATAATCCTTCCAGAGCCTATATTAAGCTTTGCAAATTTTAGGCAAGGTATTGCATTGAAACTCGACCCAAGATATACACAGTAGTAAGTAATGTGTTGCTGTGAAAGATTTTTGGATGAAAAAAAAAAAAAGAACTTCGGGTATTAGAATATTTGATTTACTGGATTTTGGCTCCTGTTTCTTGTGCAAAGCATTCAGACTGAGACTTTACTATGATTATCTAATATTACTCTGTTCTTGGAAGTTTAGCTTCTGTAAATAGTGGGAAAGGAGACCCTCCTGGATTGTTATGGTGAGTATTTGGCTGTTAATGAAATGAACGTTTAAATCTCTAAGATTTCTAGTAATGTTGAATTTGGCTGGATCATCTATGGTTATACTATTTCAAGCCTTTAAAAATCCATGGAAAAAAATAAATAAAAATACGTGGTTTCTCAAACAGTGATATACTTTTTTTCCCCCTGATTAGCATTTTGTTCTTACCCTCACTGTCTACTTCAAACAAGTTATATGCAGTTTACAATTTTTGGAGCATCTGGTTGCTGCCTACAACCACTTTGTGTCCCCTGGCAGAAAGCCCCCTGTGACACTGAAGAATGGTATTCTGAAGGAATAGTAGAGAATCTTGCCTTTATCCATTTTTCTGTTTGAATTCAACTTTTAAGGTAGGGCTGGGTTAGACTTATTTTTTCATTTTCTCCCTCCTCTCCCTCTTCTTCTCTTCTTTGCCCTCCTGTTCTCCCTTGCTTCCTGTTTCATTGTTCCAGTCTCCCTCTACCCTAGGTTGAGTAACTTATGCCATCAGCGGTATTAGAGGTTCTTGCCCAGCAAGGGCAATGTAATACTCATGTAGACATCCCCAGGTGTCTCTAGCTTTTGCCTTCTCCTGAGTCCTTACCTATTTTTCAAACCATTTTGAGTAGGGACCCATTTGTTCTTTGTAGAGAATTCCAAAAAGCAGATAACGTGTTGGTTTGTATGCCTTATCAGTCATATTGAGATCCTGTGTGGACTTCTGTTTTGGAAAAATAATAGCTTTTAGTTAGCAATAATTGAGATGAAGTCTGGGTAAAATTTCCTGCAAAGTCTGGGGCGGGAAGAAGTTGGAAAAAATGTGCAGGTGCTTTGAGAATATACATGAAAGCCATGATGGCAAGAAGTGGTGGGAAACCCTCTGGAAAGAGAGCAGTAGATGACAGTGAGGGAGCTAGGGACCTGGTAGGGGCAGGTGAACATTCTTTCTCAAGACTCCTATCGCACAGGAGGCAGGAATAAGAGCATAGCCTTCTGTCAGTCTGAGGACCCTCAATCCCTCCATGCCCTGGCTCACAACCCACTTCCAGTCCTTTCCATGCAGGTAGCCATGAGTCCCTGCCTCACTACATGGGGTAGCAAGGCAATATGCTGAGTTGTGTCTGAGAGGCATCTGGAAGAGGTGAGCGGTCTATAGCTGTGACTGTTCCCCTTTTCTGCTTACAACCTCTTGTGACAACTTCGTGTCTATGTGTTCTGCACACTCACAATGTGTGCAGAGTGCTGTTCGGACATTTGATCAGTTGGTCAATTGGTTGGATTTATTGATCTACCATTTGGTTACTTGTTTTTGCCCAACATTACGTGGCCTAAATACTTGCATTCTGATCCTACTTCTGATTCACAGAGCATTAGTCTACTCTCACCTCAAGCAAATAGGAGATGATTTTTTTGATTACCATCTAAATATTTTACCTGACAGAACTCCAAAAAGGGATGAAATGTATGTGTAATATATATATGTGTGTGTGTATGTGTATATATGTATATGTGTATATATTTGTATGTATATATGTATATATAAATATATGTATATATATAATATAAAATACACACATGTATATATAGGCGCATAAACTCATATATGTATATATTCACACACATATGTACATATTCAGACACATACACATATATGTATATACATTCAGACACATCCATATGTATGCATATATTATGTATATACTTAAATGGAACCTGGACATCCATTACTTGCTATGGAACCTATCAAAACTATATAGGGAAATAAAATGAAACATCACATTTTTCTATATTTATATATTGTAGTGGAAGTGTTGAAACACCAAATCTAATTGTTGATTAAGAAACTGAAATAAATACCATCTCAATGGAGAACTAATATGAATTTTCTATTTGTATGTTTTGTTGCCATTTGGGAAAATTATACTATCAACCAGTGTTAAACAGAAAAGCTGCAAATGGGTTATAAATTGAGAACAAATAGCACAGGCTGAGAGTGCTCTGCACAACATTTGAAAATGTCTTGATTCTAATCTAATAATCTAATTCTAATAGGACATCCCTAGCCCTTAATGCCTTTTCAGAAGACAATCTGTTATGATGAAGATGTACTGGCAGGAAGAAGAGCTTCGGAAACACGGTGAGGCTTAGTCTACTCCTTCCAGGTTGGTGTCGGCCCCTTGGGGCAGCCCCTCTGCCGCTGCTTCCGGTGGGGGTGGGGGCGGCGGCGGCGGCCTCCTGGGCCCACTTGCGAGCACCCCAGCTGGAGTCTGCTCACCTGGCCTGGCTGGTGGAGCCTGATCATTTGCCTCCATCGCTGATAGGGGAGCCTCGGCGGGGGACTGCGGGGCCTGACTGGAAGCTTCTGCCTCTGGCTTCTGGGGCGGCTGGTCAGCCTGGGCTGCTGCAGGGAGACCCTGGTCTTGGGCCTGTGCTTCCGACCTGGCGGGGGGATTCCCGGGCCTGGGGGGCGGTTCTGCCTCACGACTTCCTTCGGCTTCCGCCTGAGGAGTTGGGGGAGGCAGGGAAGGGCATAAAGGGCTCCGAGGGGACTGTTCCGGCTCCCGCAGGGCTGAGTCAGCACCCCCTTGAGGACTGCCGAATTCTGGTTGGCTTTCTCTGGCCAGGTCAGGGGTTGACTCTGGATGATGAATGACCACGAAGGCTGTGGCCAGGTTTTTCACAGCGTTGTGAACGCTCTCGGCTTCCTTTGTATCAACCCCCACGCCCCCAGACACGGCGGCCTCAGGCTCTTCATCGGAGGTGTGCTGACCTCGGTCATCCGTTTCAGGCATTTTTGCGTCTCTAATTTTCTTGTACAGTTCATTTCTCTCTTCTTGTAAAGCTCGACAGAGGTTCTCCAGCCTCCCGATTTTCATGACGAAGCACTCATATTCTTTAGCTCTCAGTGCTTTCTGTGATTTGAAAATAGTAGAAAGCGCGGGGGAGGGGGGCGGGGGGAGGGGAGAAGCATAAAACAACAAAGCAAAATTGTCAGGGTGCTCTCTGGAGACAAGCAAAACCATTTGCCCAGGAATCTGTCTACCAGACTCTGGGGCCTGACCGCTAGAGGTGGCTGGACAGACATCTGGTTGGGGCAACACAGCTGTTTCTTCATTGTGTGTGCGACTCTGGTAGAGTTTTAATCACCGTATCCTTTCCTTTGGGAGAGGAAGAGGGCAAAGCTTCTCTTTGCTCCAGTCCAGGGCCTCCAAAATCTTAAAGTACATGCATTTTCTGCTTGCAAGACTGAGACGTCTTCCAGTGGCACAATGAGATGGAGGGGGACATGGCTGTCAGCATTGCCTCATCTAGTCTAGAGATAAACTGCTGTATGCGATCCCAGCAACTGTTTGATTTATGTTGGTGAATAATAAGCTCATCTCTTTGGAATTGGTTGCAATTTGGGACGAATTGTTAGAAGAGTAATTATAACGACAGAAACTCCCCACACACTAATTCATGATGCTGCCTGCTCAAACTGTTCAGTTCTCCTCTTTTTCTGTACAAAACGTTGGTGTGTTTGTGCATGAAATCATTACTAATCATCTTATCTTTGCCCCCACCTTTGTGCTACTTGGTACCCTTTAAGACTTTTTTTCTTTTTTTTTTTTTGCTTGTTGATATGGAGAGACCTTTGCCTGTAAGCTCCGCTTCTTAGATCCAGGACCATATATCTTTGCCTCAACATCTACAGAGCTTGACATACTATTCGTAATTAAATGGCTGTTGGAAGAATTAAACAATACATTCCCACATCTGTCTATAAAGTAGTACATACCCTGAGTGCTCAGGCTGGTGTCTTCCCTCATAGGTTCAAATCAACTCACTAATATATTCTGCACCTGCTATGTGCCAGGCACTGGGGAAATTCAAAGACAAGTAAGACGCTTGTCCTGTCTTTAAGGAATGCAGCTGGGCAGGCATGGAGCTGATTTGAGGACAGCTTTGGACTCGGCAAGTAGGCAGGTGACTTAGGGTCACAAAGCTCTTTGTGAATCTGGACCCGATTCTATTTTGCTAATATTTTTATTATAATTTCATAGGTCACATCTCAGAAAAAAATCAGCTCTTTTTCAAAGATTATAATTTGTACTATTCAATCATAATAATCTCCTGAGTATGAATATTTGGACTGAACAGAGGAGAATAAGTTGGGGGAAGTCTTCTTACCTCTTCAATCATGTCCAGCAGAGCTTTGTTGCAGTTCTCAAACCGGGCTTTCCACATGGCTGTGTCCTTCTCTAACTTCTTCATTTTCTTAGTTGTCTACAGAAATTGGAATATTTTAATGTTAATCCTAAAGACTTAATATATCAAAAAAGGCTATTAGTTCCATATGTGACGCTAAGAAAAGTCCTTTTGTTTCTAGCTGCTGAAGCAAACAGGTCTGATGTTGCGGAATGAAGATTGAGTGGGGAGAGTCATATATATTTATGAATCATCTAGGTCAGTGTTGAATGAACTTATTTGGACCAGAGCCCATTCAGGAAGAAGGAAGCTCCTTAAGTCTGCCCTTCTTTTGTCACTGTATTTTCCTTAGTTTAAAGTAAAAGTAGCTTTATTTAGTCACAGGAATAAGCTTGCAATTTAGATTTTTTTTTTTTTTTTTACATTATTGAGTAAAAGACTATCAGTGGGAAAGCTAAACAGGCTCTTTACCATTAAAATGTTGATACTATCTGGGCACATCTGAAAAGATGCTATGCGAAGACAGCTCTCTATTTTCTCAGTCTTTATGTTTAAAAAAAAGTTCTTAAATACTAGTAAGTTGTCATACAGTATAATGTTAGTTTTAGGTGTACAGTATAGTGGTTCCACACTTCCATCCATTACCCCATGCTCCTGACAACAAGTGCCCTCCTGCATTCCCATCACCTATTTCACCCATCCCCCCATGCATCTCCCTTCTGGTAACTATCAGTTTGTTCTCTTTAGTTAAGAGTCTGTTTCGCCTTTTTTCCCCTCTCTTTTCCCCCTTTGCTCATTTGTTTTATTTCTTAAATTCCATGTGTGAGTGAAATCACATGGTGTTTGTCTGTGACTGACTTACCTCACTTAGCATAATATTCTTTAGCTCCACCCATGTTGTTGCAAATGTCAAGAGTTCATTCTTTTTCCTGTCTGAGTAATATTCCATTGCATATAAATATACTTCATCTTCTTTATCCATTCATCAGTCAATAGACACTTGGGCTGTTTCCATAATTTGGCTATTGTAGATAATGCTGCCATAAACATTAAGGTGCTTGTTTCCCTTTGAATTAGTATTTTTCTGTTCTTTGGGTAAATACATGTTACTGCAATTGCTGGATTATAAGGCAGTTCTATTTTTAACTTTCTGAGGAATCTTCATACTGTATCCCACAGCGGCTGCACCAGTTTGCATTCCCACCCACTGTGCAGAGGGTTCTCCTTTCTCCACATCCTTGCCAACACCTGTTGTTTCCTGAGTTGTTAATTTTAGCCATGCTGACTGGTGTGAGATGATATTTATTTGTAGTTTTGATTTGCATTACCTTGATGAGTGATGTTATGCATGTTTTCATGTGTCTCTTGGCCATCTGGATGTCTTCTTTGCAAAAATGTCTGTTCACATCATCTGCCCATTTTTAATCAGGTTATTCATTTTTGGGGTGTTGAGTTTTAAAAGTTCTTTATCTATTTTGGAAACGAACCCTTAATCAGATATGTCATTTGCAAATATCTTCTCCCATTCCATGGGTTATCTTTTAGTTTTATTGACCGTTTACTTCACTGTGCAGAAGCTTTTTATTTTGATGTATTGATGTATTCCCTATAGTTTATTTTTGCTTTTGTTGCCCTTGCCTTAGGAAGTGTATCCAAGAAACTGCTCCAGCCAATCTCAAAAAAGTTACTGCCTGTGTTCTTTTTTAGGATTGTTATGGTTTCAGATCTCCTATTTAGGTTTTTAATCCATTTTGAATTTATTTTTGTGTATGGTATAAGAAAATGGTCCCATTTCATTCTTTTGCATGTTGCTGTCCAGTTTTACCAAAATCATTTGTTGAAGAGACATTCTTTTTCCCATTAGATTTTCTTTCCTGCTTTGTCGAAGATTAATTGACCATAAAATTGTGTGTTTATTTCTGGGTTTTCTATTCTATTCTATTGATCTATGTGTCTGTTTTTGTGCCAGTACCATACTCTTCTGATTACTACAGCTTTGTAATATAACTTAAAATCTGGAATTGTTATGCCTCCAGCTTTGTTTTTCTTTTTCAAGATTGCTTTGACTATCTTGGGTCTTTTGTGATAGTCCTAAAATATAAATTTTAGGATTGTTCTAACTCTGTGAAAAATGCTGTTGGTATTTTGATGTATTAAATGTGTAGATTTGCTTTGGGTAGTATAGACATTTTAACAATATTTGTTCTTCTGATCCATGAGCATGGAATGTCTTTCCATTTCTTTGTATCATCTTCAGATTCTTTTTAAAAAAAAAATTTATTTATTTATTTTTGAGAGAGAGAGGGAGAGAGCACAAGAGAGCACAAGAGAACACAAACAGGGAGAGCAGCAGAGGGGGAGGGAGAAGCACACTCCCCATTGAGCAGGGAGCTGGCTGTGGGGCTTGATCTTGGGACCCTGGGATCATGCCCCTGTCATCTTCCATTTCTTCGATCAGTGTTTTATAGTTTCAGAGTACAGGTCTTTTACCTCTTCAGTTAGGTTTATTCCTAGGTATCGCATAGTTTTTGGTGCTTGTAAGTGGAATTGTTTTCTTCCTTCCTTCCTTCCTTCCTTCCTTCCTTCCTTTCTTTCATTAACATATAATGTATTATTTGCTTCAGGGGGACAGGTCTGTGAATCATCAGTTTTATACATTTCACAGCACTTACCATAGCACATACCCTCCCCAATGCCCATAACCCAGCCACCCCATCCTTACCCTCCCACCCTCAGCAACCCTCAGTTTGTTTTGTGAGATTAAGAGTCTCTTATGGTTTGTCTCCTTCCCAGTCCCATCTTGTCATTTTTTCCCCTCTCTACCCTCCACGAGCCCCCACCCTGCCTCTCAAATTCCTCATATCAGAGAGATCATATGATAATTGTCTTTCTCTGATTGACTTATTTTGCTTAGCATAATACTCTCTAGTTCCATCCACATCATTGCAAATAGCAAAATTTTTTGATGGCTGCATAGTATTCCATTATATATATACTACATCTTCTTTATCCATTCATCTGTTGAATGGACATCTAGGTTCTTTCCATAGTTTGGCTATTGTAGACATTGCTGCTATAAACATTCGGGTGCATGTGCCCCTTCAGATCACTACATTTGTATCTTTAGGGTAAATACCCAGCAGTGTGATTGCTGGGTCATAAGGTAGCCCTATTTTCAACTTTTTGAGGAACTTCTATACTGTTTTCCAGACTATCTGCACCAGCTTGCATTCCCACCAACAGTGTAGGAGGGTTCCCCTTTCTTCACATCCTTGCCAACATCTGTCCTTTCCTGGCTTGTTGATTTTAGCCATTCTGACTGGTGTGAGGTGGTATCTCACTGTGGTTTTGATTTGTATTTCCCTGATGCTGAGTGATGTTGAACACTTTTTCATGTCTGTTGGCCATTTGGATGTCTTCTTTGCAGAAATGTCTGTTCATGTCTTCTGCCCATTTCTTGATTGGATTATTTGTTTTTTGGGTGTTGAGTTTGATAAGTTCTTTATAGATTTTGGGTACTAGTCCTTTATCTGGTATGTCATTTGCAAATATCTTCTCCCATTCTGTCAGTCATCTTTTGGTTTTGTTGACTGTTTCCTTTGCTGTGCAAAAGCTTTTGATCTTGATGAAGTCCCAATAGTTCATTTTTGCCCTAGCTTCCTTTGCCTTTGGTGATGTTTTTAGGAAGAAGTTGCTGTGGCTGAGGTCAAAGAAGTTGTTGCTTGTGTTCTCCTCAAGGATTTTGATGGATTCGATCTCATTCATTTGAGTCTATTTTTGTGTGTGGTGTAAGGAAATGGTCCAGTTTTATTTTTCTGCATATGGCTGTCCAATTTTCCCAACATCATTTGTTAAAGAGACTATCTTTTTTCCATTGGACATTCTTTCCTGCTTTGTCTAAGATTAGGTGACCATAGAGTTCAGAGTCCATTTCTGGGCTTTCTATTCTGTTCCATTGATTTATGTGTCTGTTTTTGTGCCAGTACCATACTGTCTTGATGATTACAGCTTTGTAATAGAGCTTGAAGTCTGGAATTGTGATGCTGCCAACTTTGGTTTTCTTTTTCAACATTTGTCTGGCTCTTCGGGGTCTTTTTTGGTTTCACACAAATTTTAGGATTATTTGTTCCATTTCTTTGAAAAAAAAGATGGTATTTTGCTGGGGATTGCATTAAATGTATAGATTGCTTTAGGTAGCATAGACATTTTCACAGTATTTTTTCTTCTAATCCATGAGCATGGAACATTTTTCCATTTCTTTGTGCCTTCCTTAATTTCTGTCATGAGTACTTTATAGTTTTCTGAGTCCAAATTCTTTGCCTCTTTGGTTAGGTTTATTCCTAGGTATCTGTGGTTTTGGATGCAATTGTAAATGGAATCAACTCCTTAATTTCTCTTTCTTCTGTCTTGCTGTTGGTGTATAGAAATGCAACTGATTTTTGTGCATTAATTTTATATCCTGACACTTTACTGAATTCCTGTATGAGTTGTAGGAGTTTGGAGTGGAGTCTTTGGATTTTCCACATAAAGTATCATATCATCTGCAAAGAGCGAGAGTTGGACTTCTTTGCTGATTTGGATGCCTTTTGTCTCTTTTTGTTGTCTGATAACTGTGGCTAGGACTTCTAGTACTATGTTGAATAGCAGTGGTGATAGTGGACAGCCCTGCCATGTTCCTGACCTTAGGGGCAAAGCTCTCAGTTTTTTCCCTGTCGAGAATGATATTCGCTGTGGGTTTTCCCCATCTAGAATGTTATTCTCTGTGGGTTTTTCATAGATGGCTTTTATGATATTGAGGTATGTATCCTCTATGCCTACACTGTGAAGAGTTTGATCAAGAAAGGATGCTATACTTTGTCAAATGCTCTTTTAGCATCTCTTGAGAGTATCATATAGTTCTCGTTCTTTCTTTTATTAATGTATCACATTGATTTGCAAATGTTGAACCAACCTTGTAGCCCAGGAATAAATCCCACTTGGTCATGGTGAATAATCCTTTTAATGTACTTTTGGATCCTATTGGCTACTATTTTGGTGAGAATTTTTGCATCCATTTTCATCAAACATATTGTTCTGTA